ATTCGATCCTGCGTTTGATAATGGCGAAACTTGATGTTGGCTGGGTGAGTTTGGCGATCCGCGGCATAGTCCGCGTTGACATCTGTAATCAGATATCGAAGGCTTGACCACGACTGATGTAGACACATTCGCGATATAGAAATTGGGAAAGAAATAAACATACTTAGCAGGTGCAACGTAATTTCCAGGGAAGACTCCGCATTTCTGGGTGCGATTGGACGTTCCTTTGAACCATCCGTCTTGACAACGTTCCGTCACCATATAAATCCCGCCCTTCCGCAACTCGAGCTCATCCGCTTTCTGAGGCTTGTATGGATATAGTGCTATGTATGCTGCTGGTAAATGCGTCGCGCCAGATGCACTGGAAGTCTGATTAACGGGTACACTTTGTTGGGCAAGAACGAGATCGCTGCTACCGCTTCGTCTATGACGAAGATTGTGATCTGTACAACTGTTGACCTAGAATAAAAAGAAATTTATTTAATATAGAACTCTTACCAAAAAGAAGAAAAAGAAAGAGAAAGAAGACATAGAAATCCAAAAAGGGGATACAAAATTATACATTGATCAAGATAATTGAATTCATATATGTAATTGTTGATGAAAGAAATTGTCAGAAAATATGTATTTTCTTACTTGTAAGGGAGAAAACGATTCATTGCCTCCACTATTATTGGCGTTATTAAGAGCACTGTCTACTGGAGGACTAAGTATCTCAGCGCTATGTCTATGATGGGGATGAGCATGATGACCTGTATTGACGGCAGTGAAACTATGACGTTTAATATTATGTCTATTCCCAACTGCAGGTGGTGATGTCGCGGGACTACCAGGGCTGCTTGGAGCAGTACTGGAACTGCTGGACGTGGTCGAGCTATTGGGTGTATTTGGAGTAGTGGTTGTAGAGCTGCCGCCAGACGAGACATTTGAGACAGAATCGGATACTGGTAACGCGGCGTTCTGTACGATACAATGTCAAAATATATGTATTAAGATGTATCTCACATAAGTAATTCAAAAGATTACAACATTTTTAACTCACTTGTACCAGTTGCGATCGAGATTGACTGGTTGTTTGCACGTTACGCGTATGATCGGTTGGTATTAACGGTGTGGTTTCTTCGTTCGTTGGAGTTGGTGGAGCTAATCTCGACGGTCCTGGCTGTACACTGATTAAACGACTATTTAAATATACATTCACTGAAAATAAGCGCGATATAATTATATTAATTAATCATTCTACTTACTTAGTGGAAAGCTTCATCAGAGCTCGAGCGACGCTATTCAGCTCTACAAAAGCTAATGGAAAAATGCCAATCCTATCCAACAGTTTACCTTCTGCCCAATTTTCGTCTACTCTTCTGATAACACTGATGACTTCTCCCTGAAAATATATTTATACATATTTTCTATATATATATATATGTAATAACAACACACAAACAGCAAGATATTTAAGAAACATAATGCATAAATACCTTGTTAAAGGTCAGACAACCATCCTCATCATCATTTGTCATTCTAAAATCGTATAGTGCTTTACATTGAGGTACATGTGGCGTTAAAGGTGTCATCACCTGCAAGTCATGATAGGATAAATCACAATAAATTAAAGTTAACAATAGCAAACACAGAAAATAGAAGAGTACTTTGCGATTTGTACCTGAACGTAAGAGAGTGGAAAGACACCATGATTATTGCCGCATTCCCCAAAGTACCAATTCTTATCAATTTTCTTTCGAAGAATGACTATATCACCCTTCTTAAAACTCAAATCACTAAAAGAATAAATAACACCAGAGTAGTAGTATATATTATAATCGCATATATTAAAATAAATTACAGATATATAACGATGAAACTTAGGACATACCCTGCCTCCTTGGAAACATAATCGTAGATC